GCAAACACAACTGCTTCACGGTTGAACCACGAATGGGACAGAGGTACTTAAGCAATCGACTTATGTACAAAGTCTCCCTCTGGTAATTAATCAATTAATTGTAATTTAGTTGACTAAATGTAAAAAACATTGAATTGCGCCTTATCTCAAGTTTAAATTCTTAATGCTATATTGTTAATCTTTATGCAAATAAATACTTTTATCACTTAAAATAAGAATAGATTTTATTTTGGTGCCACTTCAGCTTGCTTATTCTTAGGGCTATGTCAGTTACTTTTTGGCACTGTGTAGGTAGCTTCCCAAAACAAGCCAGGGTTCTGCGTGCAATATTTTAATAATTTTTCTTTATTTTTATATTAATACTTTCCATGCCAAAGTCTATATTCCATTATTTCTGATTGATTATTTATAAAGTGTTCCGCTAGTATAGTTTCTGCGAGATATTGGAACAAATATACTGATAGAAATATAAAAATTTTAAATTACTATCTTGGCTTATGTTGTTCTTATGAAAAACTCTGAGTCCTTAGGAATGGCAACGCATGGCCCCCCATGCGTACCTACCTTGGGTACCTCTGTCCCATTCGTGTTTTAACAGAAAAGCAATTGTATTTGCATGGTTGTGTTTCGGTTTGAAGGGTGGGATATGGCCTGAATTTACAGGGTACAGAGGAATATCACCTGAGTCCTCAGGAATGGCAACGCATGGGGGGTATCATGGGCGAAACAGTATACTCTGTTATGTCCATGGTACTGCTCGTGTCTATAGGCGACGGTTACCACTTTCCATCAGGTGGGCCGTCAGCTTGTTTGTCATTCTAAGTTGTATAACAAAAAAATCTCCCTTGTACAGACATCATCTATTATAAATTCATAGTATTAATGTAATTGATCTGTTCATCTATTCACGAATATACACATTCACATTTTATAGTACAGTAACAGGTATTTATCATGAAAAAAAAACAATATCGTACACTAAATCTTTAATTTTATTCAATACATGCAAGGACCATACTAATAATAATTTTAAAAGTAACGTATTATATCTCAATGCACACAAAAACATATATATAAATATTTCATTTTGCTTAAATCATCAAAAAAAATCTAAGATGTGTCTCTTTACTAATTTTGGGTAGTTAATTGTAGTGTTGAGCTTTAATAATATGCTTGTTTATTAGTTTGTCCTTGAAATTCCCAAAAAGATTGTTTCCTTAGCTTGCCTGGTGACTCGTCTATGGTGTTCTATTCTTTTGGTGAAGGTGAGCTGTGAGTGTAAACATTTTCTAATTAGTACACAGATATAATATGTATACAATTGAGAAAGGAAAATATAATAAATGTATATCAAATATACACTTATTATAGAATGCATGTTGAACAGCTGGACGGGACTCATGCGGTACTATCATATACTGTGACGCCCATGGCCCATATATAAATTATATATATCTATATATGTTATAATTTGTGTGCTGTAAGTAAAGCAAATAAATTATCTATCTATGTATCTATCCATGGACACCTTATATGTTACTATTCCTGAAGACTACACTAGTGCTGTGCCTCTGTACCATATAATTTCACTGCCATATCTCTTCTTTCAAAAAAAAATATAGTTACGAAAGCACGACTACTTCATGACAAAAAAAACGGATACGACAGAGATACCCACAAAGATCCATGCATACCAGTCTATAATTTACATAAAATGCCATTTTTGGGAAAGGGAAAATACCAGCACATTCGTGTACAGGCGACCTACCCTAGCTAAACTTACATTTGGACAGGAACTGAGTTGGTTGACTGTGAGCTCGGAGCCACTATTTCATCATTGTGTGCCGAATCTGACCTCCATTGGAGTGATCCTATAAACGAAATAACAGAAATACATTACTGTGATACAGTACACATATAGAGATGAAACCGACGTGACCTAGTATACTACCCAGCTTATACGCATCAAAGTTCATTTGTACGTCAATATAAACTGCTGACTAAGCCCGGTGATGGAAAACATCAATAATAAACCTAATTATTACGATTAATAATTAATGTCTTCACCATCAACAACGTATACTTTGCATCTTATATTTTTACATAAATTATTGTATGATATAAATAACAAAAAAAAAAAAAACAAAAGAAGGCGAAGGTTTTAGTTAAAGCATCGCACAACTAAACTATCCTATCTATACAGAAAGCGACTTTGCCCGCGTGAATCAATGAACATAAAATATTCTATGTGCTATGTTACGATATAACAAGAGCAGTATCAAACATTAAAACTTGTGGAGTAATTTTACGTAAAAAAGTTACAAACACCCGCTAAGTAAGCAAGTAACAATCCATCTATCCATTCGCACTCATAAACTTTCGCATTAGATACCCACCGTCAACATGCGACATGGTGTAAGGGCCCAGTCTTCCGTCATGCTTTGAGCGTCCTGATGCGAAACGCCGTGTCCGATACAGAACGTATCTGAGACACCAGCAGCGGCTGCTGCCGCGGTGATCTCCAGTCGTTCGGTCCATTTGCTTGATTGGTCCTCTTGCAGCGCTCACTGCAGCGTTCTATTTGCGACAAAAAAAAATAAAAATATAAATCAGTAATGATGAATATAATGAAAAATAATTATGAATATAAAAATTTATTACTATTTAAAATTAAAGAGTGTTTCAATCATAGTGTAAATAGGACTACCTATCTTTTTGAAAGTTTAATTAAAATGGACTCTCTGTTGACTGGATGACAGTCATAGCACACTGATATTGTCAACGAATTGCCGGTCTTTTATATATGAGGAATGATGCATTTTTCATGAGATCCTTAAATTTTAAATAAATTTGAACGTCGACCTTTATAACTGTATTATCTATTACTGTCGCAATTATAAATTCAGATGTAATGAAATACAAACCAAACTAAAACAATTCTTTCAATTTTTTTTATCATATTAATAAAAAAAAAATCGTGGTGACTGGCATTTTATTTACATAAAAAGTGGATGTTAATTATGTGAAAAATTTTGAGCATAGATTAAGTATACCTGTATTCTCATTCTACTATTTTAATCAGTTCAAAAGACGAGAAATATCTCCATTCGATTATATATTTTTTGTTTATTACCTCAAAACTCGTTTATTTATGAATCAAATTAGAAGATTAATTATTAAGCAATAAAAGAAAGGTATCCTCAATTCGTCCACTACTTAAGGACTATAATACACGTTACGCCGTCACTTGGGGGACAATTTTCACAATCCTTTTTGAAACGATAGGATCTATTTTATTATTAATGTTGCCTACGTATTATTTACACTGAAAAGGGAGAAATGGATAAATAAAAAAAAATTCCGACTGCAAAAAAAGATGCGTTCATAATTTTTAATTGACTTTAAACAGATTGGTAGGTAGTGCATTTAATAATATTTTATGAAATTAGTACGTAATAAATTTATTAATATGTTATTTATCGCTTTTTAGTGAGTTTTTGATTTATCAGCAAATGTAATTGAAAACTAGAACGGAACGTTGAGACCGTAACATCACCACGCTGAAGTTAAAAAATTTACGACCCATCTATAGGAAAGTGGTAACTGCCGCATATTCACATGGACATTATTGTAACCATGGCTGGGTATACTGCCATATGCATTGAAGTCCTCACGCATTGCCGTTCCTGAGGAAAGAGGTGTTATGTCTCCGTACCTTGTAATTTTACTGTCACACTCAAGTCTTCAAACGTCAAAGAGCACAGTCATGTGAGCACGGCTGCTGCATGACAGAATCACGAGAGGGTCAGAGGTATTCAAACAGAGTATTGTCCAGACTCGCTTTGCTGAAATAATTATAGAATCGTGTATTATCGGGTGTCCATCACCTGAATTGTGTATATATTGATGAAACATTTTTTTTTTAATTTTTGTAACATTTAATTCGATTTTCAAAGTTACAAGTTATGACTGTCTTAATTGTAAAATGTGTACAAACAAAAAAGTAAAATATGCGGTATATGCTGGTTATAAGTAAACTGTTGCAAGGCAAGTTCGTTCATAGTCCGGCTTTGAAATTTTTTTTAAGTTTTATATATTTTTTTTTTATTTTTCAATCGACTTAATTATTACTTAGTTCTATATTAGGTAACATAATAAAAAAAATAAACATAGACACATAAAATATACAATGGTTGTGGTTATAGTACGTCGTCTGTCCTAGCAAGTGCGCTTTCGAGTGTTCCTTATTTATTTTTTTTTTAATTCATCTTAATTCTAAATTAGATATGACTACAATTAAACTAAATATACACATATGCAATACACGAGTACGGTACTTAAGAGTGTTCTGTCATAAATTGGTCATTACTAGTGATGGTTTCTTAACCTTAAAACTAACTTAATGCTAAAGTAGGTACAATAACAAAAAAAAAAAACATAGACACATACATGGGTTTAGCAATACAGGGAAAGGGCTGTATTAGCGAGATATTAGTTTTTTTTTACTTTTTCATAATTTTATATTTTTTTTTTATATTTTAATAATAGATAAACTAAGTACGATTACAAAAATAAACATAAACACATACAATACCTATATACAATGGTTGTGGTTATTAAGGTGCTGATACGTCGCAAGTTTTAGGGAAGGCTCTTTAGAGATGTTACTTGTTTTTTTTTTTATTTTTTTTTGTAAGATCGACTTAATTCTAAAGTAGATACGACTACAACTAAACTAAATATACACATATGCAATACACGAATACGGTATTTGAATATGTTTCATGATTAATTGCGTCATTACCAGAGAGGCCTGCGATGATTTTTTTAACTTTAAGACTAACTTAAAACTAAAGTAGGTACAATTACAAAAAAAAAAACATAGACACGTACAATACAGGGGCAGGTCTATATTAGCGAGTAATTTGTTATTTTTTTATTGTTTTTACATTTTATAATTTTTTTTTAATCTTTTATGAGAAACGAAGTAGGCACGGTTACAAAAAAAAATATATAACATAGACATACAATATACAATAGTAATACAAATACGTCATTTATAGTGCTGTGAGACTTAGAGAGGGTTGCATTTCTTAATGTTTTTTTTTTAATATCAACTTAATTCTAAAATAGGAACGACTACAAAAAAAAAAGCTAAATATATACACATGCGATATAAGATAGTCGTATTATAAAGTTCAGGTTTGTCGTTTATAATCCTAACAAGGTGAGGTTTACAATTAATTTTAAACATAGTACATTACAAATATTATACGCCAAGAATTAGTCAATTATCCACATCGTGTTGTGTGTTCGATACATTGTGTGTTGACATGTGATAAAACATGTGTGTTCACATTACAGTCCAGTCCAGTTTCGTTCCAGTCACAATCAATCACTGTTTCCACTTTATACGAGCGTAGAACGAGTGTTGATCGGCTGGTCAGGGCTCCGGCGGTACCGCGGGATCACAGCCCGCCAGCACGCGTGGCGGCGGCGCTGGACGCGTTGTATACTGCTAGAAAACAAATAAGAACTATTAGTAACTTTGGATAAATTGATCTGCAAGGGAGCAAGGGATTACCAGTACAGGGCTACCGCTAGCGGTACTCGAATGGAGCGTCACTTTGTAGTTTCACTGCCATATCTTACTCTTTATTGTTTCGTTCAAAAAATTACAATAGTAAACTTATCAAAAATACAAACAATTACCTTTGCCTTTATCGCTAAGAGTGATCTCTTCCAGGCAACTTTTGGAGGGGAAGAGTAATTATAAACATTTTGACCGGAGGCAATTATTATATATTATTCAAAGAAAAAAAAATATATGTTAAACATTATATTGGACAGGATTATAATCCTGTCCCGCTAATCCCATTGATCCTGCTGCTAATAGAAATAGGAAAATCTGTGAAGATGAATATTTATTTGTTACTCTTTAAGGCAAAACTAGTGAACGCATTTGAATGAAACTTTGTATACAATTGTCATACAGTATCGCAATTAACGTAAGCCATTCCTTAAGACATGTTAGTATTCATTAATATCTCAAAATATTGTTTTTTTCTAAACTAAAATTTCTATTACCATAAATTAAAAAAAAATTAATATCCAAAGAACGATTTATATTTTTATCAATGTCACTACATAATAATAAGTATTTACCTTGTACTGTGTAGTGTCGTTGATACAGATGCAGGTTACTCTTTTTTTCGAAAACTTTAATTTATTTTTTGTATTTATTAATGAGTACTAAAACTAATTTTGAGGGATGAGTTAGGTTAATTAACATACTGTGTACTGACTTGCCGTATAGGATACTTCATATAACGAATCACTCGAGTAAAGCCGCGAGATACAGTAAGTATAAAAAATCTATAAGTTTTTAAAAGCTTTTTTTTCCCTTCACAGTTCAAAATCTAAACGGGTTTGAATGTAATTTGTTACACGGGTAGCTTATATCTTAACTTTACACACAGGATGCAATATGTCTGATGCATACGCGCAAAGGCATAACACCTAATCACTAGTACTAACTACTACACTACACCTAATCACTAGGTCAGAGACATATGTCGACAGTTTTTAAGAAGAAATAGTATAATTTATGCTCACCATCAGCCCGCGGTACCAAGTTAGGGTGAACCCCTGGTTATCCTCCCAAGCTTTGCACGTCCTGATGTAGAATACCGTGGCGATCAGAGTCATTCCAGCGACAGCTATCTTTACGGTCGCCTCCAGTCATTCGACGCACACGCTTGACTGCTCCTCTTCAGTCACGTGGGTGAAGTCGCAGGACATACATATATTAAGAATCTGAAAATTACATCACACTTATACGACTGGCCAGAATTGAATGAAATCTCGTATACTAGTTGGTTATATCATAATTTTACACATAGTATGCTATACTGATGCATGCGAGCAAAGCCGCGGTAAACAACTAGACCTTACAAGACCGTAACAAGGCAGTCAGAGGCAAATGTCCACTGCTACGTATTAAAAAAAATTTACTGACCATTCGATTCTCGCTCCGAGCTTAGAGTTTCTTAACACAGAATACTGTGGCGATCAGAGCCGCGCCAGCAGCGGCGACCATCGCGGTTGCCTCCAGTCATTCGGCCCCCATGCCCTCTTCAATCACTGTAACATTTTATACACAAAGAATAATTCGATTAATTAATTAAATGTCGCTATTTTCATTTAAATAATATTTCAGAGATAATTTCAACAGTACTTGGCTACCTTTTCATTAAGCTCCATCGAAACAGGCTACATGTGGACTGGAAAGTGCTAAATGGCTAACGTCGCCCGTGAAGGGCAACGTTAGCCACTTAGCACTTACAGCACACTGACCTTGCCAGCACGTAGCCAGCCCTTTATATATTAGAAACGATGATTTTTTTATGAAGTTCTGAAATTTTGTAGGATTCGCAAACTGATGTTATCGATTTGAACATTAATCTTTGCAATCGTAGCATCTACTGTTGTCGAAATTAGTGAATAAAGTTAAATACAATACAGACAAAAATTAAATAATTTCTTGTCATCTTTTTTTTGTTAACGAAATAAATTATTTCGTAGAAACGTGGTGGTGGACATTATGTATAGTTGTTATTATAAAAGTAAGTGTTAACACAAAAATACTTTTAAGTATAGACTAAGGACAGTATTATAGTAGCATTCTGTATCTATGTTTGTAAGCAACTATTAAAAGAAAATGGTTCCTGATGTGTCTGATTATATATGGACTAACGCAATACGCCGTCAATTATTGGACGCTTTTTACAACCCATTTTGCAAACGATACTGTTTTATTTATTTAATATAAATAAAACAGTATCGTTTAGGTTTCTATACATAAAATAATTTCTAAATAAGTTTATTAGAAGACTGTCATCATTGTGTTCTCTTGTATCTGATATTTATATGTTGTATTTAACGTGTGTATGTATGTGTGTATATGTATGTGTATGTGTATATGTATATATATGTGTATGTGTATGTATGTATATATGTGAATGTATGTGTGTATATATATAATTATTTATAATTTATGTAAATATTTATTTAAATTTCTGTCTTGCACTACTACTGCCCACTCACTACTTCCTATGCCACTGCGTTAGGTTGACTGGAAGAAATCTCTTTTAGAGATAAGTTCGCCTTTGCTAACATTGTTATTAACTTATTGTTTTTACTGTATGTTTTTGTGCAATAAAGAATATATATATATATATATATATATAAAGATGTTTATATGAAATTATTACTTGAATACAATGTCGTAATATAAATAATAATCAGAAATACTTAATAATATTTATTACTGTTATTTGTAATAAATAAAAAACTAAATTTGGTTTTGAATGTATTCATATTATAAATTCTCAAAAATTGTAGTAGTTAAAATATTTTTCTATTCTCCCTGTGATGTTCACATTTATTTATATGAACTGCAATTATCGTACATATTTCACTTTGCAAACTTCGGAGGTGAGGGCGTGGTATTTTTTGTCAAGTCAATAGATATGTATAACTAATACTAACTTTTTCCCTCAACTTGGTCCGAATGTCCGAAATACGTTGATTGATCAGGATAAAAAAAAAGCTTATCTCTGTCACCATCTGGAACATTACGAACGTTTGATTGTGTCGTTAAGACTCTGACAAGTGACAAATACGCAAACTGCTTATCTGTACTAATATCATAAGGAATAATTTTTGTGTTTGTTTGTGTGATTTGTTTGTGTGATCACTCAAAACTACTAAATATACTTCAAAAATTCTTTCAACCCTAGAAAGCTACGTCATCAGCGAGTACCATAGGCTATATATTATTTTCGAAAATTCTATAAACCCGTGCGAAGGAGGCCGGATCACTAGTATATTATAAATGTATAAGTAGGTTTGTTGGTAATTTCTTGACGCCTCAACCAATTGTCATGAAATTTTACAAACACTACTGTATGGTTAGAGAACGATACGGTTGAAGAATGGCATAGGCTACTATTTATCATTACTGGCCTGATTTCATTCACCTTCATAGTTTTGTTCCTTACTGGTGCCCCGCCATTGTGGGGCATAGGATGCTCCGTATGGTATATTCTATGCTATACAATCGATGTACTCGTGTATCCATTAAAAAAATCATTGCTCCACTGGCATCGAAGCTAAAATTTTTTGAGGAGTCGTGCACGTTGCCTCTTAATTAATTTAAAAAGTTTTCATCTAAAATACTTTTATTTTAAATTTCCAAAGGATTTATTTATTACACATTTACAAATTACAGTTCTAACAGGTATTTAAAATACAATAGAAAAACAATAATACACAAAAAGTTTAATTTTATTCAATGCAAGCTGTACTTGGGACCACACGTACAGTACTTGCATCTAGAAACAAGTATGGTATAATTAATACAAAGGATTTTAAACATATTACATCTAAATACATACAAACACACACAGAGATAGGTTTATACGAAATTTTCAATAAAAGCATTATTAGAATTCCTAAAAAGATTATTTTCTTAGCTTGCCTGGTGACCCGTCTATGGAGTTCCATTCCTTTAGTGAAGGTGACATGCAAGACAATTTTTTTTCTAATTACTTTTCAAATATAATATGTATACAAATGAAACAGGTCTGTAACATTAGTTTACTTATAAATTTAAAGTATGCATTATCATAAGTATATAATATAACAAATGTATAACAAAAACATTGTATTAATCTACATTTAATAAGTAAAAATAGACGAGTGTTGAGCAGCTGGACAGGGCTCGCGCGGTTCCGCGTGGCCTGATTCCATTAACTCCCAATACGACGACACTCTACACGGAAATCGCTATAAAACAAAAATAAAAAATATCAGTAACAATAGACAAATTGGTTTACAAGGATAGAAGGGGCTTCTGAATCGACTCCGAAGTACATATCTAATGAGCACAATACATAGATTCTGTGCATTAAATGATTGCAGAGATCGCCTGATCGCTTTAAGAAAAATAGTGTTTTCAGTTTTAATGTATAATTTAAACAATGAGCACTTATTTATTTAACTTACATAGGTACATAACAAAGGTACACATGGAGAATGTAAAAACTACCATACACTGTGGCGCCCATGGACACCTCATGCGTTGAAATTCCTGCAGACAATAGTGCTATGCCTCCGTACCATGTAATTTCACTGCATTTTTTAAACAGAAACATAGTTATGAAAGCGCAGTTACTTCATCGTAGAAAATACTTCCAAGAGAAGTACCAATAAAAACCTAGATATATAAGTCTCTTATTTACTTAAAATGCTATTATAAAGCGAAATTAAAAAGAGAAATACTATCATATTAATGCATAGGCGATATATTTTAGCTATACTTACATTTTGACAGGAACCGAGTCGGTTGGCTGTGAGTTCGGAGCCACCACTCCATCATCGCCTGCCATATCTGGCTTCGGTTGGAGCGATCCTGTCAAATAAAAATATACATTAATTTAATACAAACACATATTCAGACGAGACCGGCGTGGTCTAACAGTGGCTACTTTGTACGTCAATATAAAGTGTTAACTAATACCGGTGATGGAAAACACCGATAACAAACTTAATAAATACGAATAACAAATAATTTCTTCACCATCAATAACGTATACGAATACTTTGAGCGTTATATTTTTACCTAAACTTGTTGCTAAATGTAAATGGCTTTGGTTGTATGAATCAGTACCTACATGAAATATTTTTTATGCTTTGTTAAAACATAAATTACCCGTGCACCAAATTCCATTTAAATATGTACAGTAGTTTATGCATGAAAAAGTAACAAACATAAATCCATATATCTGTGCTAGACGCACTAAAAACTGCACTATAAACTTTCACATTTAAAATATTATTAGAATACTTACTATCCGATTGCGACACCGAGTTGAGTCTCACTCGTAGCTTCGAGCGCCCTGATGCATCACACCGGCTACCTCCGCTGTCACCTTTAGTCCTGTCCATATCTTAACTGATCTTCCTCAGCCACTCTAGCGTTTTATAAACAAATAAAAAAATACATTAATTGATAGAATATTAAAATTTGTTACTAATCATAATTAGAGAGTGTTTCATAGATATTTATTAATAAAACTTGGTTACCTTTTCGTTAATACGAATTGAAACGGTTTCTACGTAGACTGGACAGCAGTCGTAGCACACTGACGTTGCCAGCGCGATGCTCGCCTTTTATATAAGAAAAATAATGAATTTTTCATGAGGCCCTTAAATTTATAAATAAATTTGATCATTGATAATAATATTAGTATTATTAGTAGCAGTTATTGTCGAAATTAGTGATTCAGATGAAGTTAAATACAAACAAAAAGTAAATAGATTCTTTTCATTTTCGTTTTATATATATATATATATATATAATTCACAAATTCTTCTTCTACAATTTCAACCAATTTCGAGAATGAGGAATTTAAGAACTATTTTACGTATTACGCTGCAAATTAGGGGACGATTTTCATAATCATTTTACCATACCATACCAGTTTTTTTTTACGGGTGAAAATGGAATAGTAACCCCGCTTGCGCTAACAGGATACGCTGGCGGACCACCAGTGAAGGGTGATAGATGAGAATGAAAACAGGCGAGTTAGCCCATCATGTGAATTCATCAGGAAACCATGAACCATGATAGTTTTCAGTCTCCATTACTAACAATCCCCTTTCCCCCATACCATACCAGTTGCATATTAGTTTTTAGTTCCTTATTAATGGTTAAATTATTTTCTGTTTATTCCTTTATTATTTATTGTATACAGACATAATTTTATATGCAGTGGGGGTAATGGGGACTAACCTCCCCATTACTGACAATCCCTTCTTCTCTTAACATAATTACAGTTAGATATATTGAAAATGTTTGTTTATGAAAAATGACAGATAACTGTGATGTTACGCCACTTTGGTAAAACACTTTGGTGGTGTCAAAGTTCTAAAGTGGGTAGCACTAAAAAATACAAAATATATTAACTTTTTAAATATACAAGGAGGACACTTAACATAGTTTCTGCCCGCTACTTCGTACGCATGGATTCTAGAAGTAGAAATAGAAAAAAAAAAACAATGAAATAGCCTACTTATACATATCGTATCAAAGTAAAAAATATATCAGTTTTTTAATGAGACTCAGGAATGCAGCTATGAAACCTGCATCCAATTTAGTGCAGCAGTCTTGTGGAGTACTTGTGTGGTGTTAAAACAAACATACAGATAGGCAAACAAAACTTCTAAAATTATTGTTTTGTCATATATTAGTAAAAGCTCCTTATTCACGCTTCCTTCATTTGCGTTTTCACTATTCGTGAATTATAACCAGAGGGAGACTTTGTACAAAAGTCGATTGCTTGGGTACCTCTGTCCCATTCGTGTTTCAAACCGTAAAGCAGTTGTGTTTGCATGGCTGTGTTTCGGTTTGAAGGGTGGGATATGGCGTGAAATTGCTGGGTACAGAGGAATAACACCTGAGTCCTCAGGAATGGCAACGCATGGGGCTATCATGGGCGAAACTGTATACTCTGTTTTGTCCATGGTACTGCTCATATCTATAGGCGACGGTTACCACTTTCCATCAGGTGGGCCGTCAGCTTGTTTGCCATTCAAAGTTGTATAAAAAAAAATTACAAAATTGCGACCCAATTCCTATATTTGCGGCTAAGTATTTCTTTATTCACAGATCTAATCGGTGCATATTAATAAAAAAGATTCGGTGTTCTTTTGTAAACGCGTTGGTAGAAGGAGTAATGAAAAAGTAAAATAGACCTTATTACAACTACGCCTAAAGTTTATTGTCGTATGCTATTGCCGCTATATAAGTGGTTTGACTTTCCATATTTACGATTCCTGTATTCGCGGCATATTCACGGAATGTATACCATATACTCGCGAAGAAAGAATTATTACTGTATTGTTCTTATTAAGAGCCCTCATATTCATCATCATTATCCGTCCACTGCTGGGCATAGGCCTTCCCCATAGACTGCCATAAAGAACGGTCTTAAACCACCTGTATCCACTGATTCCCTGAAATACATTTGAGGTCGTCACTCCATCTAGTGGGGGTCGTCCTACACTGCATTTGTGCGTACGGGGTCGCCACTCAAGAGTCTTTCTTCCCCATCGGTTGTTGGTTCTTTGAGCTACGTGCCAGTACCAGCCCATTACCACTTCAGCTTGCTTATCCTTCGGGCTATGTCGGTTACTGTGGTTCTTTTGCGGATACCTCGTTTCAGATTCTATCACGCAAAGAGATTCTGAGCCCTCATCTTATTTTTTCTTAAATATTTTCCATTCACAGATATCGTCTAATTAAATTTTTATTATATTAGTAAAATTGATATAGATCTATTCACAAATATACATATATACAAATTATAGTTTAAACAGATATTAAAAACTAGCCTTTTCCCGCAGCGTTGCTCGCTTCTGACTATGTAGTTACCGTATATCATTCTCATTGGAACCCTTCATGAATCCGGTCTTATATTGTATTATATACTTAAATGATAATTACATACGTAATACCTTCATAAACTTTCACTCTATTCAACTGATCGGTTATTTTATAACATTTTATATGTGATTCTTTAGATTGATATCACTTTTTCATTTATGAACCGATTGAAGTAAAACAAACATTAAATGTTAAGTGGAGCAAATCGCAATGCATTGCAACCGCATGCTTTGTATGCACAAACGTACAGACAAACAGACAAAAATTCTAAAAATCATTGTTTTGGGTTCTAATTTGTTCATAGAGTCCCCCTATAATAGTTTTTCTTATATATCTTCCATGTACAGACAGCGACCAGTTACGATTTTATTATATGTATTGATACTAGCTGACTCGGCAAACTTTGTTTTATCATATACATTATTTCGAGAACTATACATGAAATTCATTGTACTACAATTATTATATTCGATTGTCATCTTGCAATCCTATTGCGCAATATAAAAATCACGATTAAAAAACAGGCGTTGATCGTAAAAGCGTGAAAATTTGAAGTTGTATGTATTTTTCAATACTTAATCATAATAAAAGAAAAATAAAAAAATTGCAAAAAAATAAAAAAAAAATGTTTAGGGGTGGGTCACTCTTATCATTGGGGGGTATGAAATATAGATGTTGGCCTATTCTCAGACCTACCCAATATGCACACAAAATTTCATAAAAATCGGTGAAGCCGTTTCGGAGGAGTTTGGTAACAAACACCGAGACACGAGAATTTTATATATTAGATTGATAAAGAAAAATTATACACCAAACATTTAATTTTATTTAATGCAAGCTATAGTTAGGTAACACATGTACCGTGCGTGTATCGTAATATAAGTGTAGTATAATTAATACAAACAATTTTAAACATACCAAATTATATATGAATACACATAAACACACACATAGATAGAATATTTCATCTTTCTTAATTAATTAAGGACCAATCCTTTAAGACGTGTCTCCTCAATAACTTTGGGTAACTTATTGTGGTGTTGAGCCTCCTTATATAATATATTTTCTTCTTTAGCTTGCTTTGGAATTCTCAAGAAAATTGTTTCCTTAGCTTGCCTGGTGACTCGTCTATAGTGTTCTATTCTTTTGGTGAAGGTGAGCTGTGAGTGTAAACATTTTCTAATTAATACACAGACATGATATGTATACAATTGAGAAAGGAAAATATAATAAATGTATATCAAATATACACTTAAAATACGTGTTGAGCAGCTGGACGGGACTCATGCGGTACTATCATATACTGTGACGCCCGTGGCCCATATAAAAATTATGTATATCTATATGTATATATGTTATAATTTGTGTGCTGCAAGTAATAACTGCATGCGTACAATTAAAAAGGTTCATAAGATTAGTTATCTTATAAATTTAAAACTATACAATTTAATTTGTGTGTAATATAATTTTTTTTTATACAACTTAGAATGGCAAACAAGCTAACGGCCCACTTGATGGAAAGTGGTAACCGTCGCCTATAGACATGAGCAGTATTATGGACATAACAGAGTATACTGTTTCGCCCATGATACCCCCCATGCGTTGCCATTCCTGAGGATTCAGATGTTATTCCTCTTTACCCTGTAAATTCACGCCATATCCCACCCTTCAAACCGAAACACAGCCATGCAAACACAACTGCTTCACGGTAGAAACACGAATGGGACAGAGGTGTTCATGCAATCGACTTTTGTACAAAGTCTCCCTCTGGTAAAATATTATATTATTTATATACATACATGTAATATATGTACATAAATAATTATATACATGATACACTTTATGCATTGTAATTCCAGAAGACAACAGTGTGCCATGTAAAATCCCACTTTACAAACAGAAAGACAGTTGCCAAAGCACAGCTTCACCTCATAAAATGGACGGGGTACAGTATCCATAAAGATCTAGATATACCAGTCTCTTATTTATTTAAAATGCTATTTTAGACAGAGGAGAAATGCCAACATATTCGTGCACTGGCGTACTATTTATATTCCTTTCTATTTATTATTATTATTATAGCTTGTTATCCACTTCAGTGGGCCCCAAGGGTAAAAGCCTCCTCCATCTTTTTCCACTTCTCCTTATCTGTAGCAATATTTGTCCAGTTTTTTCCTGCTGTCTTTATTATGTCATCTGCCCATCTCTTTTTTTGCCTTTTTCCTGCTGGACCTCGCCATTTTGTTGTTTGGAGAGTCCACGTTTTATCTTTGTACGTCACTATATGACCTGCCCATCTCCACTTCTATTTCATACTATACTGAAGAGCATCTGTTATTTTGGTTTTCTTCCTAATATTAGTGTTTCTTATTTTCTGTATTTTTCTTAACTTTAAAATACTTCTTTCACGAAGGAAGGAAAGAAGTCCTTTCTATTTATACTTACTTTTTTTCAGGAACTGAACTAATTGACGGTGAGGTCGAGGTCGCTGCGATCTCTTCACGCGCAGGCTCTAGTGTCCGCAGGAGTGGTCCTGTAAACAAAATAACAAATTTGAAACAACCTATACTCGTACATTTTTTTTATACAACTTAGAATGGCAAACAAGCTGACGGCACACCTGGTGGTAACCGTCGCCTATAGACATGAGCAGTACCATGGACATAACAGAGTATACTGTTTCGCCCATGATAACCCTCATGCGTTGCCATTCCTGAGGACTCAGGTGTTAGTCCTCTGTACCCAGTAAATTCACGACATATCCCACTCTTCAAACCGAAACACAGTCATGCAAACACAACTGCTTCACGGTTGAAACACGAATGGAACAGAGGTACCCAAGCAATCGACTTTTGTACAAAGTCTCCCCTCCTTAATAAGATGAGACCGGCGTGAACTATCGGTATACTAGTCGGCTTATAAGCTCCAAGCGCATATGTTCGAATCCGGAAAACACCAAACACTTTGCAAATCAGTGTAAAGTGCTGACTATTTCTGGCGATGGAAAACACTGATAGCCTCACCATCAACAACCCATTCTTTGAGCCTTACATTCTTTTACAAACTTGTTGCTTGATATAAAGAAAAAATAAAAAAGGCAAAAGTTTTACGTAAAAGATTAAGCAAATAAACAACCCATGGAACGCGGCTTTACTCTCATGAACTAATACATATTAGGATATAAGTAGTTTATGTGTAAAAAAGTAACAAACATCCGTCTATCCGTCTATCCATCTGTCCTTACAATGTTTCACGCATATAATATTATTACGATACTCACTACTCGTATACTGCGGTACCAAGTAAGGGATGAATGACCCTCCATAGTTTGCGCGTCCTGTTGCAGAATGCGGCACCAGAGACAGAACGCATCCGCGACCACATGTACAGCGGAAGGTGTCGTGATTATCTTTGGTCATTCTATCCATGTACTTGACTGGTCTTCTTCAGTCACTGCAGCGATTTCTACGAAAAAAAAAGCAATAGATTAGTTAATTGAATACTAAAATTTGGTGCTGTTTACATTTAGAGAGTGTTTTTTTTTAATTAGTGATAATGGAATGGTAACCCCGCCTGCGCTATCGGTATACGCTGGCTGGGCACCAGTGAGGGATGATAGGTGACAATGAAAGCAGGTCAGTTAGCCCATCGTGACGAATTCCGCTAGAATTAACCACGATTGTTTCTAGGGGGAACCGCATGGAGGTTGACCTGACAGGATATATTGCTAGCAATAGGTCAGTTAGATCCCATTACCAACTATCCCTTTCCCCCGATTTAGAGAGTGTTACAATCATAATTTCGATAAAACTTTTACACTTTCTCGTTGAGTTTAATTGAAGCAGACTGTATGTGGACTGGATAGTGGTCGCAGCACACTGACGTATCCAGTGCGTTGCCAGCTTTTTATATATAAGAAATGATGAATATTTCATGAGGATCTAAAATTTGTAAATAAATTTGAACATTGCTCTTTATAATCGTGTCATATGAAATCATTATTTCATTGTAGTGTTGAAATTAGTACAGGGTACAGAGGAATAACACCTTAGACCTCAGGAATGGCAACGCATGGGAAGTATCATGGACGAAACAGTATACTCTGTTATGTCCATGGTACTGCTCATGTCTATAGGCGACGGTTACCACTTTCCATCAGGTGGGCCGTCAGCTTGTTTGCCATTCTAAGTTGCATAAAAAAATTAATAATTCAGATGAAATAATATACAAACAATAACTAACTAAATCGGTCGAACTTTCTCGATCTAGATACACGTTAGTTAAACTGGTAGTTTTTGCATTAAAATAAGTAAGTGGGAAGAATTGTTTCCTTCTTTTGCATTTCATTTAATAAGAGAAAAGCTATTTACCCAAAACGTAGTGATGGGCATCATATTTTGTTAAAACAAGTAGATGTCGACACCTACTTACCTTAGATTATATAAGTAAAGTGTCTCCGCACAAATGCTCCGAGAAAAGTGGGTCTTTTGTAATGGATGATAAGGGAATGGTAACCCCACCCGTGCTATCGGTATACACCGGCGGAGCACCAGTGAAAGATGATAGATGAGGATGAAGTAGGTCAGTTAGTCCATCGTGACGAATTCAACAGGAATTGTTCACGATGGTTTCCAGGGAGAACCACGTGGAGGTCGACCTAATAAGGCATATTGCTAGCAATGGAGCTGTCAAACTCCATTGCTAACAATGCCTTTCCCCCCAGAAAAGTGGGTCAACTTTTTCTTACAATATTGTGATAAATAGCTATGAGTGTTGTTTAGATCTATTTAATGCGTAAAAACTAATTTTAGTCAGGTCAGTTAGCCCGTCGTGATGAATACACCTGGAATTTAGCACGAAGGTTTCCAGGGGCGACCACGTGGAGGTCGACCTGCCAGGGTATATTGCTAACAATGCGACTGGTAGTACTCATTACTAACAATCCCTTCCTATTGCTAAGCGCAAATCTCGAGGACAGCTGAACCGAATTCGCTAATTCTTTTTTTACAATAATCCTTGAAGTACGAGAATGGTTCTTACGGAGAGAAAAAGTAAAAAAGTCTGAAAAAGTCTTAAAACAACACTTTTCTGTACTCCCATAGAAACAATTCATAATAATACTTAAAAGTCAATTTGAACTTTAATACCATACCATAAAGTTCAAGTGTTAATAGAGAGGTTCCGGGAAGGCAAAACAATCGAGTAGCGTAGCACGGCGTGTTTTATAATTTTTATTTTTTTGATATATATATATATATATATATATATATATATATATATATATATATATATATATAATTTATATAATTTAAATTTGAACATTTGTTCTATCTTATTTGTGCTATTGATCCTTACTAATATTATAAACGATTATTAACCATACAGCTCATGATTACTTACTACTATTCAAAATGTATTAAATACATTTACAATGGATTTAATACATTTTGATAAATCGCATTTTACCGTCTTAATTATAAAAAAAATATCAACACTTTATAAGCCCTTGTACAATAAGGAAATAACGTGATTAACTACACCTGTTGACAGCATCGTCACATATAGATAATCTATAAACCTATCATAAACCTGCAATAGCAAAACAGACTATAGCAAACTAATAGGGTGACAAAGTCAAATAGCGGTCCTAAAAAATTATAATGGACTAATGCCTACTAAGAACATTTTAAGCTAAAAATTTGTAGCATTAAATTAAAATAATATGTTATTTTACGCATATAAATTAAAATTCTTTACTTTTTATGATCTAATATATGGATCAATTGAAAATCTGCTATCAATCATGCATAATTACATTATTCTAATATGACATGCACACCCATCCTAAAGACGTGTTCAATTTATTTACAAAACATTGTATTTGCTTAACCTAGTTAATCTCCATACATATTTTGGTGTGTGTATATATTGATTTTTTAATTAAAATAACCATTATTATAATTTTCAATTTTTTGTTACAAAAATATAATATAATAGTAGGAGTAGTATATTTATCAAGATTTTTATTAAAATCATATAATATTTTTGATAGAGGATTACAGATATGATCTGTAGAAACAACTTGACAAGTTTGCAACTTAAATATCTATAAATATAAAATCCTCCAATAAACCTATTTCAATTATTGACAGTCTTGCGTAACTTCCATATTAGCTTTTAATGTATGGATATGGTCAGAAAACATCATGCCAACGTTTAGTTAAATGATGAAATTGTAATAGTGCCAAGTTAACTAACAAAAATACTGTCAAATGCGATGCAAATGACTGCCATCTAAACTATTCACGGAACAGTTTTAGCTTTATATTTCTTTTTTTTTTTTATTACGACTATATTTAATATTAACTCTATTACGAGGTTTACTCTAGAAATTGTTTAGATATCACAGAAAGTGTTGAAAACTTGTATCTGCTATCAATAATATTACGAAATTAATATTTCAAGGTAATATTGTATAAAATAATAAATATATTTAAGAATGTTATCCTTTGTTTTCTTTTTGTTGAAAAAAAGTTCATCGGATTATGCAATTTGACATAAAATGTATACATTTCTTTAATAACATGATTCGTGTTTTAATGAGAAATATTTACAGTTTATTAATATCGAAAAACTATTTAACTTTAGTATCATTATAAATCTATTCGTTTCCATTTTGAATAGCAGGCTGATCAACATGACGAGAAAGGGAGGATTTTTGTGTAGATTGGTAAGATGTTCCTGACCGAGTCGTTTTACGTGGTTTGTATGAAGTGCTGTCTCTTTTCCCTTAATTATATACTGTTTGGTTATTGAGGGTTCATTGTTAATGAATAAAGCTTTATTATAAACAATCAATAGTGTCATTGTCACATTTTAGCTAAAGAGCTCTTTAAACCTACAAAAAGATTTTTTTATGAATAAGACTGATAGTTTTTAAACTTTTTTTTTTATTATTGTGTCTATCGGGGTCCAATGATTATGTCAATGTCAAAGTTGGAAAAAACACGGCTATATTATCGGTGGTCCGATAAGATTTCTTTATACTTGTTTGTTGAGTATTTATAGAACTTAAAATGATACCTAATCTGACAGCCCACTAGAAAAAAGGTGGTAACAGTTGCCTGTAGACCAGAACAGTACCATGGGCCTCATAGAGTATACTGCCATCCATTGTAACTTCAAGCGTTATTATTCCTGAGAATTAAGGTGTTATGCCTACGTGCCCAATAATTTCACTGCCATATCCCATTAAACACCACCTTGCATGTACAGCTGTTTTGCAGCAGAAATACAGATGGGATAGAAGTACTCAAGCAGATGGATTCCTATGCAGCAAAATGAATGATTAAATAGTCTATTATAGGGTAATCACCTAAAATGTTTAAATAAAAGAAGGATTTAATCTACAATTGTGTATTTCTAATACACTTTCTACATTATATATTTATAACATTGGACATTGCTGTCTAAACGTTTGTACATTGCTGTTTAAACGTAGAACGAGCGCTGTGCAGTTGGATAGGGCTCCTGTGGCGCCGCGTGGCTGCAACCCACCAAGACCCGGCACGATGGCAATGGAGTTGCCGGGTTTTGCTGTAAAAAAAATAGTATTATTAATAACAATGGACATACTAAAACAGGGTTGGTTTTCAGTCAATGGTTCTAACTTCAGTAACCTGGAATACCACTACCATTTCCCACCCTTACTGAATCATAGATATGCACAGTTGTTTCCTAACAGATCTATATATACCAGTTTATTATTTACTTAAAAAAAAGAAAAACTATCTCTCTATTAGTGTATAAGTGTTATTTATAAATAAGTATTTATACTTACATTTTGACACGATGACAGTTGATTCACTGTGATATTGGTGGTGCCCAATACTCTATCATCGCGAGCAAAATCTGGTTCGCGGTGGAACAATCCTGTAAACAAAATAAAAAAAATATATTAATACAACACACACACAAATATGTTTAGCGATAATATAATCGACTTTTTGCCCCAAAAGACATTCGAATCTGACTGATATCAGGTAATATATTGATTATACACACAGGAAAATTTATAAATTGATACACGCAGGGATAGCCGTAGGAAACAACTAGTTCCTAACATAGTAGTCAGAGGCATGTTTTGACAATTACAGTTTGTAAAAATAAGAGGTGTTATTTAAACTCACCATCCGCTCGCGGCACCAAGTCAGGGCTAGGCAGCCGTCTGTCTCTACGTTCTTTGATCGTCTTGTAGCAGAAACTCATAACCACCAGAGCGGCACTGATTGAGGCTGCCCCTGCGATCGCCTGCCACATTACGCTCCAGTCGCTTTGGCCCTCTTCGTCGTCGTAAATGGCTGCGTTTATAAACAATGAATATAACAATTTTTACATAAGATCTGTTTCAATAGAGCCTAATAACCATAACATAAACAAAAGAATAACTAAATAAAAATTAAAAAAAAGAATTAACTAAGACGTGACGTTCGCCATATAACATTTGCAGCGGAAAGACGTCACCAGTGCATTGCCCGTCTAATAATAAAATATTGGAAATGATGAATTTTTCATAGGATCCTTAAATGTTTTGTTACCCTATTCGAAAATTAATGCCATAAATTTAAACATTGATACATTTAATATTAAAGCATAGGGCTGGAAAAAAATTATGAATATAAAATTGTCTCTTAGAATATAAGATGGAATAATGTAAAATATAGTGTTACCTGAAGAATTGAGTGGTTTGTAGGAGTTCAACGGCATGGTTTTGACGTCGCTGCGACCTCTGATGTTACTGGCGTACACTACAGCGGTTACATTTTGATCATCTTCCATGTTGGGCAGTTGGAAGTGACCCGCTGGGTCAGACACGTTCTGCAGCAGTGTTCCGTCTTCTGATAAGAGTTCCAAGTGTACTGTTTGGGCCCTGCCTCCATCCCAGCCTGAAATATGTTTATTTGGTTACTAATGAACCCAATACACATTGTCCGGAAATCTACCATAGCGCCACCTACCGGGTTCAATTGCGAATGTAAGCCTTTCAGGGACACAATAAATATATAATATATTAGACAATATATTTATATATATCTATTCTTACCTTTCTTACACTGGACTCTCAAAGTGTTCGGGAAAGCCTTCAGCACGTCACATTCCGGGGTGTTCGGTGGTCCTCCAGGCGATATGGTGTAACTGCATGGTCTCTTCTGCTCTCCGAAAGCGTTGGTTGCTCGACACAGTAGCAAACCGATGTCACCGTCGCGAGGCAGCCAAGTCAGGGTCGAGGAGTACCGGTTGTGATTGCCAGGTATCTTCTGTATTTCATTAACAAATAAGTTACATAAAATAAAGAAAAAAAATTTTAGAACGGTGTATTTTTATCCATTAACTAATTTCTGTGCTCACCCTTATAGTAGTGTACAATGTCCTGGAGTCAGAGAAAGTCCAGCTGAATTGCAGAGGTTCTGGAGAAGCATCGACGACGCACGTGACCGTCTCCGCCTCCCGTGGCATTATTCCGACGGTTTCCTCGCGTGTTGTAAGGCAGATGGGACGATCTATAAAATAAATATTAAAACTTGTTATATATAAGTAAAAACTATTTCCTTTTTTATATGCCCAGCAATTGAATGTTAATGTATTTTAATGATTAGGAAGTGGAGAAAGAATAGTAAATATCATATGTAAAAATTTTGAATAATTTTTCACTCACATCCAACGTTTAAAGTAACTTTGTCCTCAAATACCTCCTCCAAGTGTGAGTTGTGAGCTCGGCACACTAAATCATGTTTATTATCCTTCAGAGAGGGCGCCACAGTCAAAGAAGAGACAGTAAAATTACCATCGTGAAGTTCCTGCGAAATCAATTTACAAACGTTACATACAAAGTAATTAATTACACTCCTCGCAAAAATTAAGGGAACATAAAAATTATTGAAATTTTTGGGTGATTTTCAACAGGCTGTATTTCAGTGAAAAATAATCGTACAGGAAATTTAAAAAAAGGGTTTTGAAGCTTGAAAACTCTAGTTTTCAGATTTTTTGGTGAAAAAATTTTTTGAGCTCCGGTTTCCATGCAATTCTTAAACAAAGCTGAAAATAATTTTTTTCTAAATTTTCTAGGTTTTGTTTTTCACTCTATGGGCATGGAAAAATTTTTTCGAGCTACTCCATTGTATAGGTCTCTTAGCGTGTTTATTCAGCTTCAAAAATCGCTTTGGATGGCTCAATTACGACCATTTGTCTCCGAGATATCGAACTTTGAATGCAAAAGCATCCTTTTCCATTCAACTGCTAATATCTCTGGAACTACTGGTCGCACAGCAAGCGGGCGCCGAGTTTCTTTATCTGCATAAAATTTTCTTGATTTTTTTCGATTTTTTTTTTGATAATGAATTTTTAAAAAACAAAAAATTGAGTAAAAAGTGAAAAACAAATGAAATTATTGATTTTTGAATGGATTAGGGTGAGTTTAAGGGACAAAAACCTTGTTCCCTTATTTTTTCCAAAATTTCAATCAATTGGTCCGGGAAAAACCGTTGAACCGATCGCTCCAGGGATTTGAGGGTTCTTTAAGGAACAATAGACTGTAAAATTTTCCTCAAACCTTAGCTTTCCCGCCCATATTAGCGAAGATACAGCCAAGTAACCAAAAAAGGAGAAAAAGTCACTTTTTTCCACTTTTTTCAATTCAATGTTAGAGGTGGAAAAAAATTTTTTCTTCACTAACTCTTGACTGTGCTTAATTGGAAATTTTATGCAGATAAAGAAACTCGGCGCCCGCTTGCTGTGCGACCGGGCAAGTTCAATTAGCAGTTGAATGGAAAAGGATGCTTTTGCATTCAAAGTTCGATATCTCGGAGACAAATGGTCGTAATTGAGCCATCCAAAGCGATTTTTGAAGCTGAATAAACACACTAAGAGACCTATATAATGGAGTAGCTCGAAAAAATTTTTCCATGCCCATAGAGTGAAAAACAAAACCTAGAAAATTTAGAAAAAATTTATTTTCAGCTTTGTTTAAGAATTGCATGGAAACCGGAGCTCAAAAATTTTTTTCACCAAAAAATCTGAAAACTAGAGTTTTCAAGCTTCAAAACCCTTTTTTTAAATTTCCTGTACGATTATTTTTCACTGAAATACAGCCTGTTGAAAATCACCCAAAAATTTCAAAAAATTTTATGTTCCCTTAATTTTTGCGAGGAGTGTACAATGGAGAGATTAATAAAATTCATTTTCTTAATTTAAAAAAAGGTTAAGGAAAAATGTCTACATTAAAAAACTTACTTTGTGTGTGCTAGGTCTCAGCACTGACTCTCCGAGGTGCCATGTGATGGATGGTGGCGGGACGCAACCCACCACGACGCAGTCGACCACACGTGGCTGGCCGGCTTCGAAGTCGTAATTATTGTTTAAACGAATTTCAACACGGGTAGGAGGTACTGCAACAAAAAGATAAAAGATCAGTTCACAAATCGTTCACTCGAAGTCACAAAAAATAGCAAATTTATCACCCAAATCATTTTATTACACAAACAGACTTTAATAAAAAACAAGTTGTCATTCCTACTGTAATTTTTTGCCTCTCTTCGATACCATGTTGGCGATTTTAGGCACTTTAATAGGAGAATGTAAATTGGATGGTCCTGTTATTGAATATTTACAGGTTAAAGGGTTTTTTATATAAATAATTATATATACTATTGAGATAAACTATAGTTAGTTGAAGTTACAGAGAAATTAGTATTGTGAAAATACTTACAGTACATTTTCACAAGCAGACTCGCGCTCAGTGGTTCGGTGACGTCAGCGTTTTGCGCCAAGCACTCGTAATGCGCGTCAAGTTCGGAGCGCGTTATGTTTTTCGCGTGTACTTCGGCGCGCAACACACCCGGGCGCGCCGTATGCGCACGCTCGATCACAACGCCGTTCCTTCGCCAGTAGACCAGTGTGTCCGGTTGTTCTGAAATCAAATTAGGTATTAAGGCAATTGAAATAGAATTGGACACTCATTTGAAAAGACATTAAATGTTACAATACATCACCAAATAAAATTAAGAGATTGAATAACAGCCATACACATATCTAAATTTATTAATATTTTTTGTAAATTGTACATTAAAATATTAGTATAATGATAAATATTCACTTACCATCATTGACTTCACATATGAGTGTGAGATCAGCTCCAATATTGAGAGGGCCAACGTAAGCATTCTTGATCTCTTCTCCTTCTTCGTTGTATATCTTGGGAGTTCCAGGAGAATCTGTTGGGCACGTAATAATATATACAATATATACAAAAAACATATTTAGAACAGAAGAATAAGATCATCACTTACCAACAAGGCGTACTTCGATGACATAGTCGATTGCGGGCGAGGCTTGGTAGTGGACCCTGCATCTGTATATGCCGCCATCTTGGTCGCTTATGTGTTTCAGCAACAGCGACGTGTCCTCGGGGCAAACACCACCGTCACACGAAGGAACGAAGAAATTATCGTGATTCACTGATCTGCAGAATAAAATAATATGTACCACTGAATTCAATTGCCTATTTTTAAGATAGGATATTTTATGAACAACTCAGAACCAAAACTTCTGTCCCACGCGTATTTTTGCTGTAAATCAGCTGTGCTTTTCTCTTTAATGGTCATGGTTCTTGGATCTTCTTTTGTATTACTAAACTGTAAAAGACTGTATTATTTTATACACAACATAATTATATTACTCTTACCTCTTTTCGGATTCATCATTCGGATATCTATATAAAAAATCTTTATCGTTCTTCAGCCACAGTATATATGATTCGGGTCCATCTAAGAATACTCTGCCTTGTCCGCACGGGAGACGCGCATCCTGACCGCGCACTGCCCGCAACACGACCACATCTGTATAAAATAATCATTATTATTATTCTTCTTCTAACGGCTATGTCTGTTTGTATCTGTGTGAACATGTATTTACCTGTATCTATGGCCAGCACCATATTTGTCCCAAATAAACTCAATATGATGTAATATAAAAACATCTTCGGTTTAGGTAGGTGATTTAAAGTCATCTTGGATTTTGAAACGTACTACCACAACGTCTCGAATCCTAAAATGTGATGGTCAAATTAAAATTAGGCTTAGTAAAATACAACAAATTAATATACACAAAAGAGCAAACCAATAGAACTGTAAAAATCTATTTGGAATTATCATATAATATGCACAAAATAAAAATAAAGACAGGTTTGGAAACTTCTCCCTTTTAAACATTACTGTGTCTCAATAGAACTTAATAACACATTTTCAAAATTAAATTAGTAACAAATCAAAATATAATGGGCATCAGGAGGCTGTCTTACGATCACGCCAGTTATATGTTTGTTTACATTTCCTTTAAATTCTATTGAAACGAACTAAAAAGATAAACTTATAAAGACATGAGTCACAAAAATAGTGGTGCGACAACAGTTGTACCCTATCTGTATAAAACAACCAATATAACTTGAACTCCACTTTACTTTCACATTTCCCCCTTTCTAATTGAATTAGCACAAACATTAGAAGGGGTGAGGAGGTCAAATTACGATTGGAATTAAGAAATGCATTCAAACACGCAACCTCCCTTTTTGAGTGAGTCACTTCGTTAAGTCGGCTTCATAAACAAAAATAGTGATTTGTTAGTTGACGCGTTATAATTAAATGGATTAAGTAATTTAATTAATTCTAAATTTTTTTAGGCCTTTTTACCAACGAGAAGTCTAAACGGCGCGACTCATTTACTCTAAAACTTATAAGGGAAATCGTAAAAAAGTCTGTCATTCTAAGTCTAAAAATAAAATTAAAAATGCATGCACAAATTAAAAAAATATATGCAAAAAAATGATTAATTAACGAATTTAATAAAAGCCAAAACAGTAATTTTTTGAATTTTTATCAATTCAGTTGCAATACAAAAATTTAACTGTCTTCGCTGTTGCGTTTCTGAAAGGCGAACTTAAAATCTGATGTACGTTTTATTGTTTACTTCCAAAATACTCGCATATGAAGTCGCAGGCAATAGTTAACTATATTTAATGTGAAATGATTACTGTCGAACATGATATATGAATAGCACGTGGCTTTCTTGCTGAGCAAAATGCTGACGCGAGCTGTGCACATCGTTCGCTCGGACACGTCCCGTATAAAGTAAAATTATAAATGTATAGGTATAATTTTATTTCAAACTAACTTTTGCCTACAAATTCCTGCGCACGAATCGGAAGTATGGCTGATAAAAAAAAATGAATTAAATAGATCGCTTTTAGGTATATTTTGATTTATTATGACAAAACATATCTGATTTTAAGTTCAACGTTCAGGAATCTAACTCTAAGAACAACATCCGATTTGATACAATAGTTTAAATATTTAATAGATGTACACAGATAAAATAAATTTAATGTTTTTGCTTCCATAATTCATATTAAAATCCCGTACATCGAGTGACCTATGGCGTCAATTTTTAACATAACAACAGATTTTAAAAGAGGATAACGCACTCGATTCTCCTACTTTTTATGTGTATTGTATAAATTTAAATTCATGATGGTCCGCAACAATAACTTTAAAAATCATTTTTATTTTATAAGAATATGAAAGTAGGTTTGTTTGTTACCTCTTGATGTCTTAACATCGTGACCAATTCTCATGAAATTCGACATATATAGAATTTGCTATGGAAAAACATACACCGAATATAAACACTGTATTTGTAATATAAAAAAAAAGTAAAAAAAAATACATGAACCTATATATTTATATGTAAAAACCACGTGCCACTCAATCAGTTTTAATGAAATTTTTGTAAGTAGGTATCTTGATGATCCAACATTGGATAATAAAATAGCGCACGTGGTTGATGACAAGAAAAATAAATGCAGGGTAGATAGAATGTAATCGGGTGAATAGGTCACACCGTAACTGGGACCAAATTAGTTCAATTCGCACAAACAAAACCGGGGCCGCAACAAATATTCAATACTTCAATAACACTAAATGCAAAAACTTAACTAAACAACATCCCAGAATTCGCGTTGCGTCATTCAATTGAATTCGACTCTTGAAATAAAATTAACAAGTACCTACACGAAAAAAAACTCCCACGTTGCTGTTATAAAAATGTTAAACGGTTTCATAATACAATTTGATTATCCGCAAAAAAAAATTAATAAATAAAAACCAAAAAAAAAAACAAACACTAAAATTAATCCTAAATCTACATAATAATTAATTAAAATTTAGCACAAATAGTCTGTAAATTTAACACCATTAATTGAAATAATGCTCATATTAGATTAATTATTAATTAATTAATTACTATAAATCATTAATTACTATGACTAATTAAAATAAAATTCCTACCTTAAAATCTTCTTAGGCAATCAGCAATATAATCATAAACTGAATATTTAGTCGGCCGCGTGTGAACACTACAAAAACTTCTGTATGAATAAAGTTTTCTAACACTTGCCAACTCAGGTATTGCAGGGTTGTTAATGCAATAGAATAGTATGGATATACCGCTTATATTAGTTAATACTCGCATATTGTAGGCACCACGGTGAAATGCCTAATAAGTGGTTTTAGGTGGCGTAGTATAATAGCTTTGTAATACCTAAAATTGTAACAACGGGGTCAATTCTAAGGGGTCATTGATCTATACGTATCTCCAAATTTAAAATTTCAATTTGATATTACAACGTAATATATAATAATAATAATTTAAGGACCAATACAAACTAAATTTCTAATTTTCTATTTAGTTCAAAATTAGTTTTTAGTTCATGATGGCCCATAAAATAGTAAATTTGTGAAACTGTCAAGTTAAAATATTAGTTTTAAAGGTACGTTTAGAGAAATATATAAAATACATAATAGGTCCCAATGTAGTAGTACCAACATTAACTATTTTTTTACCGCTCCCTTTACATTTATCCATTAGACCAACTTTGTGTACTTCTGTTTTTTTTTATATTATTTCAACTAATAACTATAACGCGCGACGTTTCACAAATCTATTTCTGTCTTTGCACCAAATTTATAGCGTAACTGAGAGAAAAAAATATATATTATATAATAAAAATAATATATATATATATATATATAACAATAAGGCTTATTGTAATATCATAATAATTATATCCCGTGGCTCCGTCCGTGTGAATCGATACATTTTTTAATTTATTATATTAGTGGGATATTCAAATAATTTCAAAGGATTCGATTCTTAATTCGATTGCATTTTCTTCACGTTTGTTTACCTCATAACTCCATCATTTTTAAACCGATTTGGAAAATTCTTTTATTTATCTAAAAGGATGCACTTTCAGATTGGATCCATGGGAATTTTGTCAAAATTGTTGGAATAGTTTAGTTTTTAAATCAATATTAACTTTTTTGCCACAATAATGACCTGTATTTGTCTTTTGACATTAAATAGCTGAATTCCACGGTTTCACCCGCATATTTCAGTGTACGAGTATACATTATCTTATGTTCTAAATTATGATATACCCATGTGTAAAATTTCCTTTAAATCCATTCAGTAGTTTTTACGTGAAAGAATAACAAACGTTCATCCTTCTTCCTCGTAAACTCTTGCATTTATTATAATAATAGGATAATTGATATAATAAAAAAAAATAAAAAAAAATAATCTAAATACAATATACTAGCTGTAATTAAAATTAAATTATATAAATCAATCCTTTTTATGATACTTAGAATGGCAAACATGCTGACGGCGCACCTGGTGCAAAGTGCTAACCGGCACATATTCACATGACGGTGTTCGGCACACGGTGACTGATACTGAGAATTACGGTCTTATGGCTCAGTTTTCGTTGCCATATTTTTATATTACCAGAGGGAGACTTTGTACAAAAGTCAATTGCTTGGGTACCTCTGTCCCATTCGTGTTTCAACCGTGAAGCAGTTGTGTTTGCATGGCTGTGTTTCGGTTTGAAGGGTGAGATATGGCGTGAATTTACTGGGTACAAAGGAATAACACCTGAGTCCTCAGGAATGGCAACGCGTGGGAGGTATCATGGGCGAAACAGTATACTCTGTTATGTCCATAGTACTGCTCATGTCTATAGGCGACGGTTACCACTTTCCATCAGGTGGGCCGTTAGCTTGTTTGCCATTCTAAGTTGTATAAAAAAAATATTCCCAGGTAAAACAGAAGACTGCAACACCAGTATGGAACCAGGTATTGAAAATCCAAAGAATGATGTTCACTACACAAGAGAGATTGATGACGAACCCGCCCTTGGTACTGGTTGAAGTGTTTGAAAGTGATTTAATGGTTAATTATTATTATTATTATAATGGATAATTGCCATTCTAAGTTGTATAAAAAAAATATTATATTTAATAGGTGATAATGGATCGGTAATCCCGCTTGCGCTATCGGTACATGCTTGTGGGGCACCAGTGAGGGATGATAGGTGAAGGTGAAAAAGGTCAGTCAGCTCATCGTGATGAATTCACAAAGAATTAATCAAGATAGTTTCCAGAGGAAACCTGGTGGAGGTCAACCTGATAGGGTATATTGCTAGCAATGGGGCCACTAGTCCCATTACTATTATAATAAACTATTTTTCACCTTATTGCCACATTTCACGCTCCAAACTGAAATACAGATATGCAAGCCTTACTAATGTTATTAATATTTAAGAGGGAAAGTGATAATTAGTAATGGGAAATAGTAAACCCGTTGCTTGCAATATACCTTATCAGGTCGACCACCACGCGGTTCTCCCTGGAAACGATCGTGGTTAATTCTAGTGGAATTCAGAACGAACAAATTAACTGATCTGGTTTCATCCTTACCTATCATCTCTCACTGGTACCTTGCCAGCGTATACTGACTGCGCCGGCGGAGTTACCACTACATTATCACCCATAAAAAAAAATATTACTCTAAAAAAGAGTTTATTTATTCATTAATTCATTCTATTCACTAATTAATCCTACCTTAAGAGGTTATAATGCTATAATTTCAAAACCATCCTTTTTCAATCGACTTCTGTATCATTAAGGTACAAACGGACCCTAACGGCTCGACTTTGTCCGTGTGTCTGTTCGTTCGTGCGTCCGTCCGTCTATCATAACGTTAGTGCAGAAACTATTAATGCTGTCTGATTTTGAATTTGGAATAATTTTACATATCACTGGCTCGCACATATTTCAATGGAATGCTCTATCAGGAATACCACAGGGCTCCCATCTAGGACCGATATTCTTCTCTTTATTTATAGATGACATAACTACTGAAATCAAGCACTGCAAATGCTTATTATTCGCAGACGATTTAAAGCTTTATAAAGTAGTGCAATCATTGGATGATATGGCATTAATACAAAGCGATCTGATCGGGATGGAGTGTTGGTGTAAGCGCAATTGCATGTCACTTAACATCGACAAGTGCAACCACATAAAGTACACCAGAAAGAGAAAACCCCTTCAGACCTACTATACTATTGGTGATAAAGTGCTAAGAGAAGTAAACGAGGTCAGGGATTTGGGTGTACTAATGGACAGTAAATTAACGTTCACATCCCATATTGAGTCTGCAGTACGGAAATCGACTCAAATGTTAGGCTTCGTAAAACGCACTTCCAGGGGATTTAAAGCAAAAACTAAAATTAGCTTATACAACTCCTTAGTCCGAAGTCAGCTAGAGTACTGCAGTGTGGTTTGGAGTCCATTCTACTCGTGTCATTCACAGCGAATAGAAAGTGTACAGCGTGCTTTTACTAGGCACCTGGCTTGGTTTGCACAGAACATATCGCATAGATGCCCATACAACCAGCGTCTTAAATTCTTTACTATGCGGACCCTGTTCGATCGTCGCCGCCTGCATGATTTGGTATTTCTCCATAGGATTACGCATCATGATATGGACTGTCCTGAGCTTTTGAGTGAAATTAAATATGTAGTTCCTCACGGTATCCCTAGGTATCCCATCAATAAGATATTTTATGTGCCACTGTGCAAAACTAATTTGGGATTGAGTGCTCCTCTTGCAAGAATATGCAATAACTACAATCATATATGCGGTATAAATCCGGATATAGACGTAAGCCATGACTCGTTGGCAGTGTTTCGCGGTAAGATACTGAAGACCATGTGGATTTGATGATATTGTCCAGTCTTGATTTATATTTAATTGAATTGAATTTTTTTAATAAAGAATATGTAATTGTAAATTTAATTTATTATATTAATTATATTATGACATTTATATACATATAATCTGTAGTCAATGTTGTGTACGCCTGCTATAGGTATGCATATCAGCATACTACATAAGAAATGTTTTTTAATTTATGTATAATATGTATACTGTTGGTGTGCCTAATTCAGAATAAATAAATAAATAAATGGAAATAATTGAAAAAGTACAGAGGAATAACACCTGAGTCCTTAGGAATGGCAACGCATGGGGGGTATCATGGGCGAAACAGTATACTCTGTTTTGTCCATGGTACTGCTCATGTCTATAGGCAACGGTTACCACTTTACATCAGGTGGACCGTCAGCTTGTTTGCCATTCTAAGTTGTATAATATATATATATATATATATATATATATATATATATATATATATATATATATATATATATATATATATATATATATATATATATATATATATATATATATATATATATATATAAAAAATACTATAGAACAAATTACAAGAATAGTGTATGATGTCATATTAAAGTCGGTGTAAAATTATAACATGTGATCATATAACTTCTTGTGTCATCAAATTGATGCCGAACTTGACAATCAGCAGTCTCGGGAACAAAGTGTGAGAATATCTAAGAAACATAAGAATTACAAAAAGATACCTACTTGATATCACGTGTTTGTCTAAATCTAGTTGTTGGGGAGAAGGTATTGTTTGTAATGCGGATTACCAGTTCCATTGCTTGCAGTATATCCTTTTAGGTTAACCTTCACATGGTCCCTCTTGGAAACCTTCGTGCTGAATTCCAGGTGTATTCAAAATGACCTGCCATTTAATTCTCACCTGTCATCCCTCACTGGTGCCCCGCCTGCATATACCGATAGCGCCATACCATTCCATTATCATATCTAAAAGTCTAGTTGTTTCCCTCTGCTTTGCCCATGTAAATCTCAAACAGTACAAAACATATTCGTTCTCCGTATCTATCTATTTCTTCTAAATCATTCATGAGTTTTGAAACGCGTTTAACTGTCATTTTGATATTTTTTATGGGATTTTTGTATGTAAAAAACTATTGCATACTAATTTTCATTTACACACGTGCGAAACCGGAGCGATTGGCTAATCTTACTAATATAACAAAATTGTAACTAGAAAATGTCTGTAGACGGGAGACATTTAATAAAAAAATATATTAGGTTATTTTAAAAGGAATGCAAGCCAAAACAATATATTTTTTAAATATGTTACCCGTCTATTATATATATACGGGTAACATATTT